GAAGTTGGCGACCTTTCTGCAAATAATATGGATCCCATCTGACGAGGTCGGTGGCAGTTCGGCGGTGCATGCTGATATCTGTCCTTTGTATTTCTATTCTGTCGCTCGATGATCGCAAGGGTATGAAGGTGGGGGTGGGTGGGGATGGGGGCGCTAGGGGGGTATATTACAGTTGAGCCACTCAATTGGAGTCACTCAGAAGAGAATTAGCTTGCAATGGGATGGACACGAATGAGCTGGGAACACCTCCGAATGTACAGGGCTGCACGTCTGCAGGACGTGTCCACCAGCCGAGCTCATACATGACAGCCGGCGACCCAAAGCGCTGAGTGGGGGAAATTTGAGATATTCTCAAGCCACCATATTCGAGCCTATGCTCTCACGCTTGAGTAAGGATGTTTAAACTTTTTGCATATTCTCACCTCAAAAACAGGCATCGTACTGTTTTGCGCATTTACGTGTTTCCGCGGTTGAGCGCTCCAGCGAACATCTTGAAGAAAGGTTACACTGTCTACAGAATTTAAAATGAAATTCCCCTTCAGACCACCCCAGCATCGCTTCATAGCATAGGGCCGGGTACCCCATACTCCGGGGGTGTGCCTGGGCATGGAATCCTTGGCGCCATGAAGGCTTGGTAGGCGCCAATACTGCTTCTTGAGAGCTGGGATTGATGAATTGTCAGATGCATTTTGCCGCAGTTCAGGGACGTTTTGCACGGTTATTTGATGTTTGCGAGGGAAGAAGATGAAACTCTGGCAACAAATGTACATGCCTGTCGAAAAGCAACAATAAGATAACAGGCATATGAGCCCCTGGAGCGGCATGCGAAGGATTTTGAATCTCGCAACTAAAGTTTCAATGCGAAAGCGACGCGAGTGCAGACTTTTGGGGGGGCTGTCTTTATGTATGAATCGCGGCGCCGCGGCTTCCCAAAGTACGGGAATCACCAGGTCAAAATATGCTAGCAACTGGTTGGTTGGTTCAATCGAATTTAGTCATTGCTGAGATGCGCGATGGCATTGGAGCTGCGCCACATCAAGGAAAGTCAGGGTTGGTGGATTGCAAGTTAAGCGCGTCACCATGTCAGGCACGACCGCATACACTGCCTCGTTACCGTGGTTGGCTCAGATAGCGTGGGCAATGAAGACCACATGGAGCATTTGGTCTCCTTGAAGGAGCAATTATTCAGTCTAGGTATGGCTTAGGAAATTCGCGAGCCTTGCACTCGTGGATAAATGGATTTTGAGTGTTACGCCTCAAGCATTTATTTGTAGACATCGCGCTAACCTGTGCATGGATAATTCGTGGCGCAAGCTATGAGCGGCGCATAATTTGATGGTTCCCTGCGGTTCGATTGATGTTGAGGCTCTCCCGGTTTATTCGCAGCAAAACTAGATGGGGCGATTGCGGAATTGGAGATTGTGAGAATACTTGTAAAAAAATCGACAACCTGCCTTCGCCGCCTCTCAATTGAGCATCGTAGAACATGCTTGTTCCCGAACTCACTATCCTGTAGCATCCTGTGATTGAGAAACTCATTCATTTATGTACTTATTCACCTCAAATTCAACGAGTTACAAGAGCTAGCAGTGCCGTGTAGGGAAGTGCAGCAATTTATATAAATTGATCAAATCAATTTTGTATTGCACCGCAATGCAAACCTGTTATTGTCAGAGCATTAAGCAGGAGTTTGGAGCAAAAAATTGCAAATGTGCCCCTTCGCATCTCGTCAAAGTACTAATATATTGCGTATGTCGGAGAGTGGCGCGCCGCTGATGGACACGGCACATGGCTTGCTGCCGTGCCGCCATTTTCTTGTGCATGCTCCTGCTGATGCTGATTTTTACAACAGTTGAGCTCTGGTAATATAGGAATGCATGTCAATGACACGAAAATTTTCTTACAGCTTAGAAATTGTCATTGCGCAGCGAAGTCGCAGTCAACTGCAGTCGAAATCACCCAGCAAAGAATTGGTTCTCTCGCAATGCTTCCCAAAATGAGTGTGGTGTTGATCAGTAGAGAACGACATTCTTGCGATTCCACCTGCGATCCCATTTAACACTTACACATTCTTGTGCCGTCGCAATGACTGCGATGGCGCCACTTTTGTTCAAAAGGGCATCGCAGCTGGAATCGCAAAGATGGTGTTTTCTGATAGTGGCCACCCTGTTGCGATCACATGCAATGTCGGCGAAGATTTTGACACGAGATTCATTGCTGCGCAGATTCCCAGCTATTGATGCTACAGATCAAAGTGAACTTGGTCGATAAGGAAAATGGCAACAAGTCGACGTCGTTGATCCGTATTATAAGATCGACCGAGCTGGCGGAATCCATGAAGGTGAGAACTTGAATCGATATTGGTGGAACAGAAAACACGGCTCCTGAAATCGCTGAAGTACTTGCTATACTATAGCAAACATTAGTAAAGGTTTAGTAAACCTTTGGACTCGATGAACGTAAAAGAAAGACAAGGGCGATAGAACTTTTCATCAACACGGGTTAAGGAGATTAAAACTATGAGCTTTGATTCGCTGCCAATGGCATGAGAGTATCGCAGCCTGAAACGCGGAGCCAATGTACTGTAGATGGCTTCTATCGGGAGCAGTCATCCACTGTGATAGCTGTGGCAGCTTAAGAATGCACGACGCTAATATTGCTTGCGATAGCTGACTCAGCAGTCGCAATGACATGACAGCACACTGATGACGGATCTGAAATAGTAAGACAATGCATCCTCGGATGAATGACGAGTTAATGGACTATTGAAAGGTAAGCCGTATCATGTGGACCCCAGTGAATTGCACATGTGATTCCGCACACACTTTGCTCTTTTCGTGCTCTGCAATCAAGCACGAGAGTAAATTCTCTCGGTGTAAGTAATCCAGTAACTACTGTTATAAGCACACAAACGTCCTATGTTTCACGAAGATCTGTTGGCGATAAAGGGGCCCAAGATCCCATATAGGGAAAGTTCGTTTTCCTGTCTTACAACTGTAAACGGCCACGACCCTCATCTACCGCACACTGGCATCACAGCAAGCGCCATTCTCCGCATGTGCCCGCACAAAATACATGTTGTTGATAGTTGCAGTGAGTCAATGTGCCGCTTCCCCTGCAGTCCCTCTCTAAATACTTTAGGGATGCCGTTGAACTGCATTCTGCTGGTAAAGAACTTTGAGGGCGAGAGGAGCGTGGAACCCGAAATGGGTGCCTACACTATGAGGCCGACGGTGGAAATCCTTCGCACTGTGGCAGCAAATCTTGAGAGTTTAGAGGATGTGTGATGATGGGGAGAAATATGGTGAACTGGGAAAACCGAATAAAGAATGGTTCGGAAATGGAAATGGCAGCGGACGAGATGCCTCGGAAAGCGCTGAAATCTGGTGCGGATGACGATCCAGGCAGCAGGGTCGAATGGCAAAAGGACAAAAATGACAAAATGACAAAGGCTCCCGTGGGTTGGACATGGTCATTTCGGCGAGCATCTGATGGACGCCTTTCTTTCTGGCAGTGCGATGGTCCCACCACATGTACCTGAACGTGGCACGTTCGCACTGCGAATGTAATGAATGTAAACGCATACTAGGCAAATAGGTGTCGGTTCAGCACAGCAGTGTCCTGTGCCCATGTCTGAGTATCTGCATCATACAGGTATGGCCGGTGATTTGGCCTACAGAAGTCACACACCCACCCACACACACACACTCTTTCTCGCAGCGTTCGCTCAGCGCTGCAAGTTCAACGCGCTGAGATCAAAGCAACACGTTCACTAAATGCTGTGGATTATGCGGCAAATTGAACAATGAACCCATGTGGAAATGCCATGTTTGCATGAGACGGTGCATAAGTACAGAAGCATTTGCGCCCCACAGCAGGGTATTTGACTTCCCCCATTTCAGTGCGGGATTGACCCACATCCGCGCGTTGGGCATTCGCGCCAGTCAGCAGCATAAGGGCAACACACTCAGCCACAGTTCACGGCGCCGCATTCACAGTGGGGCTCGTTCGGGGACACAACGGTCATGCTATCACAAATTTACAAAAGGACCGATGCACATGCATCTCGGCGTGCTAAGGTCTCCAACACCTCACACTCCTGCACCGCAATTGGCGCTGCCAGCCAACAAACCATGCGCTATGACCAAACTCAAGGTCTTAAGAAATACCGACCAGTGCGTGCATTCCACCCAATACCTCATTATCGTTTGAAGTGATTCGATTGCTCCCTTGCACCCACAAATTAAATGTCTCTAAGGGCCCCTCTACGCCCATCAAGGCCGAATGGGCATTCTCATTGTACATGGCCTTGCCGAGCCCTTCCCACACAAACACTTAGACGTGGGCCACCCAGCTGTGGCTTGCGAGCTTCCACGCCATCCAGCGACCCCACATTCTGGATATTTCGACCTACCGCCACACGCAGCTCTCTAGCTGTGTGCAGCACATCTGCCCATCTTCCCCTAGAGCGATATCCACTGCCAATCCAGTGCCTGGCTAGTCCTAACCATTAATAGTGACCAATGAAGAATAAGATCGTCTGCATCATAGGGTTCAATGTCAATAACAAGACAAACCAAAACCGCGAATCATGCGATCATGCCTCCCAAAATGCCCCCCAAACCGAGTATTGAGCGGCCGTAGGAAGCCTGCTGTCTGACCTGTGAATGCAACCATTCGGCAAATTCATCGCCCGGTCAGTCCAGCAAACAACCTGACCACTTCCAGCCCAACAAACCACTCCAGAGTACGTCCCACCTTCCGATCCAGGCAACATCAAAACTCCCATTCAATTCGTTGGCATCTCGTGCCAATCGCCTCAAAAGATGCAGATGCATAGTCGTAGGCATCTCATGTGCCAAATTCACAAAACATGCCGATGCATGAGAGGGGAGTGGAGCATGGCACCACGAAACATGTTGCCAAGCCCCAGGAATCCCAGCGCAACCACTCGCTCAAAGTTCTCTTCCCAAGCAGCCTCAGTCTTCTCAATCATGCGCTCACACCGAGATGGTCGGCATCACGGCCCACAACTCCCTCTGCGGGGTGAACTGTGCACGCACACACAACGCACGTGAGTCACAACGCTCACTCCTGCACTTGTTGTTTTTCGGGTGGGGGTTAAGATGTCATGCACACAATGCAGAAACCCACTGACAATCAAAAACAAGCATCACGCAGCATCAGCGAGGAACACAGACCGACACAAATGGTGAAGTCCTTGGTGCCATCCAGCCATCGCCATGCAAGCCTGGCTTTGGTTTGCTCTTCTGCTTATCCTCTTACCGTCAATGGTATATCATCAAGCAGCTCTTCTTCCTCGTTCTGTCGCTTCTGCACACGCCTTCTCCGTCTGGCTCTCTGCCCTGACCCCCACCTTCGCCGTAGGCGGGCGACTGCGGGCGTCTCTGTGTGCATTCCTGTCTTCAGGAGTTGGAATTCGCTTTTCCTGGACGTAGCGGGGCAAAACACAGGGTCAGCCCCTTCGACACACTGCTGAACAGTCGTTCCACAGTTGGCCACACAACCGGACAGGGACTGCCTGGCGGCCAGGCACCAGTGCCTCCCGACCACACAGAACGAAGCGCCAAGAAGATCAGCAGCTGCAGATCAGCGTTTTCAGGAACGGGGCGTCCTTCTGCAGCGCACTGGCACCAAAATCCAAGGCCCGAGCCACGCTTAGTCCGGCACCATGCAGGGTCCCTGGATTCAGGACCACCAGGAACACTCAACCGCGCGCTCTTCCACTCCAAACCGCGCGGCTGCGCCACCATCGACAGTGCGCGCCAGAGGCAGCCAGCCCTCGCAGACCGCCAACCTCCTCGACACCCGAAAACGTCCCGATTCGCGCAAGCGTCCCATTTCCCGCCCACTTGGCCCCAAGAAACTTCCTCCCCCGGCCCCGCCGCTCACCTTGCGCGCACTTCCTCGCGAATGCCGGCCATCACGTCCTCCTCGTACGCCACCCTCTCCAGCACCTCCTGGCGCCGCAGCTCCGCCCGTAGCTCCAGCACGTCCAGCAGGCTGCGCCCCTGCGGCTCCCCGCCCGCCTCCGACACTGACTCATCCCACGTGGCCCCATCCCAGCAGTCCCCTTGCGCATCCCCGTCCAAGCCCCACTCCCCGCAGCAGCCCGCCGGAGCGCTGTGCCTGCCGATCGAGTTGCCCGCCTCCGAGCCCTCCTCTTCCTCCAGCCTCAGCAGGTGGCGATCGAGCTGAGCTAGCGAGGGGTCCGGCTGGCCGCGATGGCACCCCGTCCTCATCACGGCCAGGTTCGGGGATCGCAGCTCCTCCGGCGAGCGGGATTCGCGTCGATCGCGCACGGCCACGCCTGCCAGCCGTTCCGCATCATTTTCCTCTGGCCACCGGAGTTCCTCCCACCCGGCTGGGCACTCCGGCGACATGCGCCACGGCGAGGGCCGCCGCCCGTCAGTGGTAGCCATCTCCACCGATCGCCGCCAGCGGTCCTCCTCGGACGCCGCCGCGTCGGTCAGGCTGTCCGCGGAGCTCGCCGGCGCCCTCACCCCGTCCTCCGGGACGATCAACGCCGACGTCCGTTTCCCGCCCGCCACGCCGGCGCCCGACCCCGTGCCGGCGGCATCCGGCGACCCCGCCAACCGGTCGAACGCCGACACGACGATCTGCCACAGGGATTTGACCCTGGCCGGCGACGCCGCCCCCCTGCTCGATGCAGCCCCGTCGCCATCCTTCTGCGCGCCATTCCCTCCCGGGGCACGGCCCTCCAACCCCTCCTGCACGCTGCTGCGCCGCAGCTGCCCAGGAAGAACTTGAGCATCTCGTTTCCACGGCGCGATCATCGCCGCGTAATCCGATCCGTCCAGCTCCGGCGGCATGGCCGCCCCCTTGCCGTCCCTGTAGGGCTGCAGGCTGCAGAAGGAGAGGAGGGCCATCGGGCTGGCCCCGGCTGGGCCCACAGGGCCCGGCCGGCGCGGCGCCCCCGGGTGGGGGCGCGCCCGGAGGCTACCGCGCCAGGATGAGAAGAGCGTGGGGGCAATCTTGAAGGCGGCTGGCCAAAGGTGGTGGGCCGGGCCCGAAGGCAACACACACGCAGCCCCGCCTTGCGTGCGGCCAGACACGAGGCAGGCGTTGGTAAATATCGGCGGGCGGGGGGTGCAAGGGGCGCTGACGGGGGTGGTGGTCCTGTACCGGAGTATTGCCTGCATGGGGTGACGTTATCCCGGGTGGCTGTACATTAGGGGCGCATGAAGCTGGGCCAATACTATTAGTGGGAGGCGCCTGGGCAGATCCCGGCGCTTTTCGCGTGTGGGAGTGTGCGCAAAAGGTGGCTGACCATGATTTCCAGGGCGCTGGCGGCGGCGGGATGGTAAGAATCTCCAAACTGAGGAGCTGCGTCCTGCGGTCCGACGGGGGCTGCGGGGAGCGGAGGGTGGCGAAGCCACGCCTTGTGTCTACAACGCGGTGTTGGGGGAACTGAACTGGACCACGACGACGGTTTAAACTTCGGAGGGTTGGAGAAAACGCGCGGTGCCTGTGGGCCGGGCACCACGTCCCCAAACAGCAAACGGCGTCGAGGCGATTAGGAAGCGGGATGTCGTGGGTACGGGGCGCCGACCAATGTCAGCGCCCTTGGCGAGCGGGTGCCACTTGTGGGCGACCAGTTCTGATGGACGCCCCTCGCGCATGTTTGGCCTTCGGCCGTCCTGGGGCACCAGGGTGTCGGGCTGCAAACTGCGGGTCGCTGTTTGATGGCGCCCCAGGCGCTGGGCAATCGGACTGTAGTGGGGAGCGTCCTCTTGGACAGTTGTTTGATGTTTCACTAACTCTGTCAGAGCACTGCATTGTGTTGCTGAAAGCAATTGCCGTATTTACCCTGAATTGGTAGGCGTGTGTTGGACCCCCAAAGTGAGCGGGGGATATTAATGGTGGGTCATGTTCATTAACGCGTCAGAGCACTGCATTGTGTTACTGAAAGCAACTACCGTATTTACCCTGGATTGGTAGGCGTGTGTTGGACCCCCAAAGTGAGCGGGGGATATTAATGGTGGGTCATGTACATTAACGCGTCAGAGCACTGCATTGTGTCACTGAAAGCAATTACCGTATTTACCTGGATAGGTAGGCGTGTGTTGGACCCCCAAAGTGAGCGGTGGATATTAATGGTGGGTCATGTTCATTAACGCGTCAGAGCACTGCATTGTGTTACTGAAAGCAATTACCGTATTTACCTGGATTGGTAGGCGTGTGTTGGACCCCCAAAGTGAGCGGTGGATATTAATGGAATTCACTATCTTGTTAATAGGTTTCCGCCCAGGGCGACGAGGGGCGGGCGCGCTGGCTCCACTTGGACCAGCGCTGCTTAAGTACTTTGGCTTTGGTGGCCCCTTGGGGTTTCTGTCCCCCTGTACCTTGGGTCAGTGGCCAGTTCGTCGCGTTCAAGGAGGGCCAGTGTTTTTTGGCGCCCTTGGGAGCGGCGGGCTTTGGTGGGCGCTAGCCGGGAGGCTACTTAGGCTCACCCCTCTGTCCCCACCTTATCTTGTTTCGCTTCCCGCCCGGCCCTCCCTATTAGGGTGATGTTCGGTTGAGATGGGCAAGTGTGGGAGTTAAGTACGTCGGGACAAGGAGTGGTGGGTCTGACTCAAGGGTTGAGTCTTGTATGGGACTGGCTTAACTACTAGCGAAGCGACTGGGCACACAAGTTGTGGGTACCTCGGGTTGTATTGTGACAAACAAACGGTTTTTGTAATGTATTGGTCCAGTGTGTGTGTGGACCGGGGCGGGACAAGGAGCCCGGTCCGGCGGAAATATGGGTCATGTACATTAACGCGGTTTGGACCCTGATCCCCAAAGTAGACGAAGATTTTTTTTGGCAAGTACATCGTGAAATGCCCAGAATAGGTAAAAATGGCCATGCTATTGCAGGATGTTGTCAGCCTCTTCACGGGAGCTGGCGGCCTTGACTTGGGGCCACACCAGGCAGGTGGCGGCAAGTGGTGGCGACTGGTTATTGGAGCCAACAGGGGTCCCCTGGAATGCTCGAGGCGTGTTTGCCTCTGCAATGGAAAGAACGAGGACTGACATGGGTCCCGACTCGCTGGGGCGCCACGTCCTGACGATGGGCTTGACACACGGTGTTTTCCAGGGCAGATCGTGGCTGGGAAGGTTGATGGAATCTATGATTGGGTTTGTGGCCTGGTGGCAGTGCGATGTGCGAATTGGGGACGGGCCCGGCCTTCACAGCGTTTTGCAGGCAATTTTGCAAAGCGGTGACTCACAATGGCAGCTATCCCGACCAGCGCCGCCGCCTGCCCATTTCTGGTGCTGGGTCTTGGGGCACCCTTGGCAGGCGCCAGGCCATAACCTGCTCTGGGCGGGCGGGGAGCAGGTCAACACAATCCAGAAACCAGGGCGGCTTTGATTTCTCGACCGCTTTTTTGATCGGGGCCCGCTGCGCCGGTCGCTGCCCTGCAATCCTGCGCTGAGAGTGCCAACGGTGGCCAGTTGGCCAAGCGGCCTTTCGTGGGCCCCCTTCCAAATTCTCCCTCGACAGCATCCACCCCGACCCGATCGTCCCCGTAGACGTGCGAATCGCAGGGAATGCGGTTTGGTCCATACTGGGCAATGCTGTCCAACGCCAGCCGCCGACTTCCCTTGGCACCATCCGCGGCTGTTTCTATCTATGTTTTGGAGTGGATACTAACTCCGGGTCATGGATACTAACGTAGTTTCGACCCCAAAAGAGTGGGGTGGATACTAGTAGGGGTTGCCTACTAATACCGGGTAAATGCTGTAATTTGCTGGCATATACCCTTGTACATACGTCCATATATCATTTGGGGCAAAGTGGCAACCAATTTCCTGGATATGAATACTTCAGTGGAACAAAATACTGAAACTCATATATGTTCCGCTGGTAATCATGTTTGCTTGGCAAGCAACGCAAGCCGAAGCAGCCGTAACGTGAAGAAGAGCGGAAAGAGGCCCCCCCCCCCTCCCACCCCCCATCTTCACACTGGCAGCAGAAATACCCGATACTTGAATGAAATACTCAAAATCTTTCGTCAACAAAATAATACACTTGTGGCAGTTCTCATTCAAGTGGGCAAACCCCCCTGCCTGCGTTTTTTTCAGGTATGAGGGGCCATGGGATGCAGCGGCGGCGGGTGGGATTGCAAACGTGTGGATGGTCGTGCATGGCAACCAAGCGGGTCGCCAAGTGATGATGGCAGTTTTCGCTGCTGAACAACCAACGCCCCCTGTTGCTTGGGACAGCGAATAGCTTGCAAAGTGGACAATGGCAATGCAGGTATCAATGGAAGGCACAATGGTGTGCCCAGATTCCATGTCCAGCACACAAAGGCAAGGCATTGCGCCAAGACGCCATGGACCACATCAGTGCAGCGGTGGATTCGCCAGAAAGGTTCTCAATGCGATCGGTAACAACACGCGGACTCGCCGCAACCTACTAAAGAACGTAAAAGTTTCCGTTCTGCAAACTACACCCGCGCTCCGTCCCACAGTCATGGCTGGGACACAGCACATCACAACAAGCGCATTCCCCGCCGCTCTAACCTAGGCTCGAATCAAATTTTGCCAAAGCCGCTGCCAGCAGAGTTCGAATTCACAGCTCACACTGCACTGCCAACCACGCCCGGGCCTCCCACAATCCCAAACACACAGCAAAAACTCAGCTCAAAATCAGCATGGGGACTGTCAGTCGACGACCCATGTCCCGCCCCGCTCCCGCAGAATGAACACCCTGTCCGTGGCCTCCAGCTCCTCGTCCTGTGGTGGATTGACCATCACGTAAGGCAGCGTCCAGGCCGCATTCTCCGACTTCTTGCGGTACAGTCCCAGCGGCACGAAGCGCCGCTTCAGGGCCATGTAGTGCACCAGCTCCCCGTAGGTCTTTCCCTCCAGGCCGTCTGGGAGCGGTATCTGTTTGAGGAGGGCGCCGCCGGGCTGCTCGTTGTCGCCGGCTAATTCCGTCATGAGATCGATGAGCAAGCCCTGGTGACACAGGCGATTCTTCTGTGCACTGTGTTGTGATTCTCGTATCTGGTACTTCGTTCAGCGAACCAACATCCATTCACTCATCCATTTACTGATCATTTAATTCACTTGTAGATGCTAACTTTGCAATGATACCAGTTGAGCCACTTCTGCGGGTTGTAAGATCCCAGGACTTGACGAAACTTTGGATGACCGCAACTGACATTTGTGATCACCCTTGTCAAGAGATCCGCTTTTCTCATCGGTCACCACCAAGGAGCAGCTCTCCTCTGTGATTTCATATTGGAACAACTTAACCCAATTCTTCGTCAAAGCTGCCCAGAATCCTCAGTAATCTCGAAATTGCTAGACATCGCAATGAAACACATGTTTCGTAAGACTTTTTCTTTCCGTGTATTTCAGCCGTGTTTGATGGATATCAACAGCTCCGTTCTGGCGGAATATGGCAGAATGTGAACACCCCCAACATTGGAGGCAAAACACGCCAAATGCCCTGCATGCGATGTGAAGCACTCAGATCAGCACAAAGGCACTCACCCTGTTGAAGAAGCTGTGGCAAGCGAAGGTGTCCAGCAACGCAGGCACAAGGACCCTTCCGGAGCAGTAGTAGGGGTTGGCTTGCCACTCCGCCAGGCCCTCCTCCATGGCCGCCACGTTCTGCTGGTGACGCAGCTGCCAGCTCCGCCGAGGCTCTTTCGGCGGCGAAGGCATGCCTCCATCTGCCTCCGGTCTTGTCGCGCTGCCCTGCGCGCAGCAGGGTCATGATTGTGAGGGGGCGTGAACGATGCACAATGGAACGGACAGATTAGATCAGCGACAGAGCGCAGAGGATCTTGCATGAATGAACAAAGGGAATTCACAGGGAACGAAAGAGAAGGGCAACAATATGAGGTGGCGGGAAAAAAGCAAGGAAAATGCAAGAACAACGTTTTTCACTGTTTGACCAACGTTATCAACGAATTGGAGACAAAAGGAGAGGACCAAAGATGCGAATCAACCAGAAGAATTGACGCAACAAGGAGTTGCAAGCGATCTAATATCATCTTCGCGCTGTCCAAAGTGAACGCGTTAATGCTCAAACAGAGTGTTGGGAGTGGTTGCAAAGAACGACAGCAAAGGCGGCAGCAAGATAAGAGGGCGTGAAGCCATGCAAAGCGAGCTGGTTCACAAAACGGAGCTCTTGCGGGCCTGTCATTAGCCTTGCGCACATTCCAAGCAAAGCCCCTTGCAGTTTCGCGTGAAGCCAATGCCTTTTAGGTTCCATCACCACAGATCATGCAATCCGAAGCAGATGTGCGTCAAGTCAACATTGCCAGCAATGGCAAGTGCCGTGCGAGCATGCTCTTAAAATTTGCCACAGGCGCGTCCTCTGCATTTCAGAACAGTTCTGTAGCACATGATGATGCACGACGCCACTTTATGTTTTGCAAGTATATGTTCCACTTCACATGAATTTTCTCTCTGTTGCATGTTCCCTCGGTACTTTGTGTATTTTTCAACAGCATCGCATTTCCCTGGTGCTCTCAAGAGTGAGAATGGCCACAACAAACACAGGAAGGAGTATGCCATTTGATGATGCTATGGCGCAGCGTACACGAAAACATATGACGCGCTTTCTCAGTATGTTTTCAGGTTTCAAAAGGAGCAGAAAGTGCAGCAACGGGCTGCTCCACGCCAGTGCTTCTTTTTCTTCAGATTGAGGACAATGCAAGGAACACCTTTTCAGAAAATACTGCAGACGCAGTTGCACATCCCCACCCACCCAAGGGCGCGCCTTGTTGGCCGCACGCTTTGATGCTCACCTTCATGAGGAGGCCAGGGTGCAGAAATTTAATGGACGACGTGTAGCACAGCTCCATGACCGCGTGTACTAAATCAGCACCAACGCTGTAGCACGTCAGGAGCGCTTCCGCATCCGCAAGCACAGGGGAGGTGTCTTTCTCGCCCTTGGGAGCAGAAGGCGCCTTGTGGGATTCGCACAGGTACACCAGAGATCTGCACCAACGGTAAATGCACACGAGCCAATGCACAAGCGATGAATCCAAAGGCAGCGATGAATAATGCAAACCGAAAACACTAGCAAACAGAGGACCAAATCACACGTTCTGCGAACACATGTGTATGTATTTCATCAGTGTTCTGCACGCCAAAGACACGAAAATAACACAAACCCGTAAGCTTTGTACACGTTTGAACACGTGTTATTTCGCCCTTTTTTCCCTAGTGAAAGAGACATACATAAGAGCATATAATAGTACTATTCCTGCTCCAAAAGTCGCGCCCGACTTCAAATCTGCCCAACAGAGTTCGAAACGTGCGAGTCAGAAGAAAAAGACGAAAGTAACTTCGATGCGCCATATCAAGAGCCATCCGTAGAGCCCCTTAGCATGGCAAACGGTGCAGCCATTCTCGTGATACGTGAAGAGAAGCTCAAACGCAACTTTTCATTTTGCCGGGACCTAGGGCGGGGCGGGGCGAGCTTCTCTTGCCCTTCAAGGTGTGTGGATCGAGCTGAGCGACCACTAGGAGGTATGCTTGGTGGTTTGGCCAGTGCTAAAGACGCGGCTCAATTCCGAGCAGAATCCACATGGAAAGGGATTAGGCTCAGTACAACATGTGGAGTGTCGACAAGACCCGCATGAAGGTCGTGCCCAAAGGCCAAGAGACACCTCGATCGGCCTCTCCTTTCCTTTAATGTACTAAAGGGGGATTATAGATGATTACCTGGGACTATTTGAGGTGTTCCCCCTGGGCTCTGGTAGGTGCAAGAGCATGTACCTAGTAGACGTGCCAAGGATTGGGAAGCCATTCATACTGACACCAACCAAAAAGACCGATTATATTGATGTAAACAAGGCCAATGGGCGCAAAACAGAATTTTCAAAACATGATTCAGCAGATTGAAAAAAGGCATTCAAACAAAAGTATGATGGCACTGGTATCTAAACTCTTGAAATTGTGTAGTTGGGCCTGTTTTTTCTGCAACAACATTCTTGGTGAATTTCGGGGGAATGTGATGGAAAGTGCCAGAATAAGCCAACACAACAGTGCGGGGAATGGAGGTCCTGCATGGTACCGGACAAGGGCATTTATGATTAGTCTGTGAATGCCATATTTTTTGGCGATGGATAATGCAATCAGGATCCACATCGACCTAAAATCAACCAAGGAATTCGAATCTGCTGGCAGATTGATTGATTGAGTTGATCTTGCAAAGTTACAGCAACATTTGAACTCGGACACGACTTTAGGGACGGACGCAGTATATTTCAGTTGACAAATGCGTGCTATCTGTTCATGGCAAGTCGCATGGTGCCATGGAAAGTCTCCGTGTCGATCTGCCAATATACAAGACGAATCATGATGCGCCTTTTACGAATCAATTTACTGATTCACAATCGCTTGTCGTCCTGACAGCTGGAAATACCATTATGGGTGTACCATTGCCATCTCATTCACTCGAAATGGAAATTGTCTATGAAATCAAATGCGCGCTTTCACCAAATGAACAAGAACACATTGGGATGGTCGCATATGCCATTCAACCGGTCGAAATTGCAACATTAGGGGAACAAGCAGCTGCGTCTGCGTGATAAGATCGACAAATCCTAGCCAATGGCTGCCATTCGTCATTGCAGTACTTGACAATTTATTAGTTGAACAGTCAGTTAATGACTGCAAAGTGACAACGCAATCAATGCGGATTGATGGCCCATCCCACCCTGCACTGATGAAAGACAGCCTCCAAAAATGTTCAAACTTGGGGGACCAATCTCATTTCGTCTCAACAGTCCAAGTTGGGCATGAGCAGTGAATGCGTTTGCAGCAAACATGAGCAGAGGGAGACATGGCTCTTGTTATTCCCACAGCTCCACGCAATTTGATGAACAACAGCAACACCTCTGCTGTTAGAGCAAGAAAAGCATATGGACCTTCGAATGCTATGCTATATCGTGAAAACAAAACAGCCAAATGCACGCGTCTTCTCTTCCTTCCTCACCCCGCTCTCTCAGCTCCCGCCAACAAGAGCGAATTCAGGTTTCCTGGCGAGCCCTTCAGGTGTTGCACGCCTTCCATCTCAAGCACTGGCGCCACTGCCTGCCTGCTGGGGTGCAGCACCAAGATGGGTGCAGGCTTGGGGCAGCTTCGTCGAAACTGCTGCAGGAAGGGCACGAAGCCCTCTGGAGCACCACACAGGATGATGTGGTCGTGCAGGTCCGACAAGTCGTCAGGAACGCCAGCCTGCAGCATCGAGGGCAGATGCAGTCAACACAAACGCTGTTAGGAGTTTGGCAGGAACTGCAAGGTTCCACGGTCGATGGGTTCTGCTTTTGTGTTCAGGCTAACAAAGTCCTAAGTCTGCTAACCGGCTCAGAACTGGGGCAGACAGGGTACAGTGCTGTGAGTAACTGCTCAGACACCTGAATACCCGCTCATGGCAATTAGGATCAGGACACACTTTGCGTATAGAATTGCAACTGATAGTTTCAATTACGGCTTCTAAAGCAGTTGTTGATTGACAATTAAGTGAGCAATTCTCACGTTTCACTTGCTTGCATGTATTGAGTTGCAATTGTAAGGTCAGCATCGAGGGATTTAAAAGTGCCCAATCACTGGGGAAGGCTTGAATCTTTGAGCTGCGTCAGTCTTGACTGTGGCAATACATAACTGCGCTGTTTATGCTGCCAGCACAGCAGTGAATTTGCTACGATGCTCTGGAATGCTGAGCAACACATGACGGAGGAGAACCTGCGGCACCTCAAGTAGTGCCAACAAAGAGCATGTTGGCTACAACAGACGCACATTCAACTACAATCTGCGAACAACCAGCTGGAGTACCGTGCCTGCCTTTGCTGATAATTGGATTAGCATAAAGTGGTGCAGGAGCAAAAATTGAATTCTGGGCATCTCGGGCATGAGTTGGGTTTCTTGTTGTCTTTTGTTGCTTGTTTGAAAATTGTGTTAAACGTACATACAGCCAAATGGAGTATTGTGCCTGCCCCTGCTGAGAATTTGATTAGCGCAAAGTGGTACAAGAGCAAGAATTGCATTCTGGGCATCTCGCACACAAGGCAGGTACTACAACCTAACGACCATTTTGCACAGAACACAGCTCAGTACAGTTGCATACGTGCAATACAATCATTTGCTGTTGCCATCAAAATTGCTTGCTACAGGTATATGTTGTCACATTTGTTATTACGAATACTTCTATTTTTCTGATACATGTAACGTACCACAGCCATCCTAGACGAATCATGTCTATGTTCATGGTGTCGCAAAATGTTGTACAAATTATAATATATTATCATAATACTTTCTCCGTCTCATGTTAAATGTCCTCTATTTGAAGTACAAAATTCATTACAAGGAAAGCTTCAAAGGTACAAAACAAAGTCAGAATCAGAAAGATTGGGTCCCAAAACCCCCAACTACCAATTTCTGAGGGAAAAAAGTCAGTCCCACTCCTTGAAGGGCACCCTCGAAATTGCCCTTGGATTCGGGAAAAAAATGGGCACACCGATTCCGGTTCCGCTGGATATCCGCACGGTTCTGGGTCACTCCCGTCCCGGACAACCAAGGAGATGGCTTCGCCACTGCCGTGGTGAAGGGCGGCACCCCTTGCGTGGAATAGCACTGGTCCAACATGGCCGACAGTATTTGGATCCTCGTTGCCAAAGGCCATCGTCGCAATGTTGACGATGCTAGAATTCGCTGCGACCCTAGATCCGAGATGCAAGGACTTGCCACCAACTGAATAAGCCAAGATCCAGGGCGCTCACGCCTGGGACCTATGCGCTCTACCACTCCAAGGTATTTGTGTGGCTTTGCATAGGCATCTTGCCTCAATTGATCCTTGAATCGAGGCCTTCCCAGGCAGCTTGGCCCACGATCTATGAGGTGCCACCAACAACCACCTCTTTTGTGCAGTCCACAATCCATCACCACCTAACTAGTTTCCTTTTGTGAAAGAGACACGGCGTTAACCATCTAGCCGTTTGCCTCATGCCTAGCCATTTCATATTCCACAACAAACCCAATTTCGCCAATCTCGCGCTGACAGCAATTCCCACAATCGGCCGCCGCTGAATGCGGTGCTGGGCTTCACCTTCTCTGTCGCCTTGTTAGGGGGTTTCAGAGTCACCCTCTGTTGTTTTGATGGCACCAACAGAAGACGAAAAGTCTTGGCTCCAAAAATTTGGGGCCGGAAGTTAGCTCCGGTCCACCAGCCCAGCACTGAATTTCAGCTCTAGCCTACAGCGAGCTACATGATCAGGGCCTTCGGAACGCGATTCCTATCGCCGCACTTCCTCACAAGCACCATGCCGACCTTCTGTCTCAGTGGTGTGGATAGTTTTGCACCGGCGGCTTTGTTTCGCCACCGCGAACGTGTGCTCCTCGAAACAGCGAAAACGGCCGTTTTCGCAAAATCGTTGAAAAACCGATGGGATTTTGGCAAGAGGACCCTTGCCACAAAGTACTGCCAAATCATCAATACTTGACATATTGACTTCAAATTTTGACCGTATACTCTTAAAAGGTAGATACAGCTTTGGACAAAATTTCATTGAAAGAACTACCATATATAATGGAGAAATGATGCGCAAAATTCACAGAGGACATTTAATATGGGACGGAGGAAGTATCAACAACAAAAGAAGAAAAATGGTTCGGCTGCGATGCACTCCGAAACACACAATGGGACCCGCCTGCAACTCCTCTTCCATTTTCGAGGCCACCTCAGACCCCTTCACTTTAGGCTCCTCCTTCGGTTCGCCGTCCTCTTCTCCTGCGTCGTTTTCCTGTTCCTGCACTTCCTCTCTCATTGGATCCAGAGCATTGCCGTAGCCATAGCTGGGAGGGTGCAAATGTGTACATCATCATGGGCACACGCACCAGAGCCTTTCCAGGCGAACAGGCACACACCATAAAAGAAAAATAAAACTGCCTAGCTTCACACCATTTGTTTTCAATCTCATGCCCGACAAATTGTTGGCACAGCATTTGGTAATATTCATGCTCTAGAAGGCTACTGCACTGTGCGCTCATCACTGTGACAGTCCAGAAGGACAGTCCTTCTGGCCCTGATCGGCAGCGACATGTGCGGTGCAGGCTCCAAAGGCACGCTGGCAACGAACTGTCCATATCACACAATTCATTCCATGTTTAAACTGCATAAATCACGATGCAAGATCTAGCGCATTAGAGGGTGCATGAATGCATGAATTCAAGCATTAGAATTGCACGAATTGTAATTTCAGCCGTGGTTCTGGTGCCACGGTTTACTGTGCTTTCGTGAAGAGCCACAGCGCACCCTCCTGGAGAGTACGCTGTGGCTCTGGACCAGCTGGACCAGCGTTTGAGGTGCCCCGGGAAATGTTGCACATCCAGCATGTAGCGGCGCCCATACCATATTCGAAAACCAACACATGGGCGAAACACGTGGGATGCCCATTATTGAACATGGAACTTTTTTTTGACGCGCATCGCTCACCTGAGCAAATAATGCGCTTCGTCCATATCCGCTTCCAGGACATCCTTGGAGACACCATTGCTGGAATGCGCCCTGCCAACGTGGTCCGCGTCGCCGCCCCATCTGAGCCGCTGGACGTCGAGCACGGCTGTCACCTTGCTCAGCAACGGTCGAGCTGCGGCTTCGCCTCCAGTGCCCTCGTCACTGTAGGCGGACGTGCCCAATTCCTCTTCACCGTCCACACTCTCGGAATCAGGGGGACCTGCATCGGTGGGCCACAGAATCGGGAGTTGCTCCACCGGCTAGACCAAAACTGTGCATGTTCAGCCGATTCTAAGAAATTTCTGCACCAATAATCTCTCCATTTTAGAGTAATGTCGCTACACACGACACGTGTGCAGCGTCCCTTTCAGTGTGATGCCAAAGAGTGCCTTTTGCCTGGCGTATCAAACAAAGATGCGAATGATTTTGCTGCTGGAACATGCTGTTCGTTCAATACAGTCCCTGTTTGTACCTAAACTGCTACCAGGTTCACATACAGTGGGGGGTATTGGAGTGCTTGTAAGCACATTCTACCCCAAATATCAAAACACAGCAATACTATATGCGAATATAGTACTATGTGCGTACAGTACAGGAATATACGATAAATTCATGGAACAAGTACACCATAAAAGAAAATCACGTATCATTGCTACTGGGGTGCATGAACGGGACGAAATTGTGCAATCTTGTTTCTTGTGCAATGATGCCCAGATCTAACACGCCGAAATGATTTCCTGCAATGCGACAACCCACAACCCAGTTCGCGGTTAGTCAGCAATTCCTTTTCCCTATAAACCTGCGTTGATTGCATCGACTGAAGTGCGCCTATCCAGCGCTCTTCGCCAAAATAAAAGAGATGTCAGAATTGCCCTTCCTCGTGGTTTTGAAGCCCTCAGCACACTGCTGCACTGCTCCCTGCACCCAGCCGCAGGTCTGCACTGGCAAAAGTACCGTCTGTGAAGCGCACTTTCTGTCCAGCTGGTTTGCTACTTTAGGCCATATTCACTTCGCCATGTACACCATGACATCACTTCCGAAATGCGGATAATCGTGCATCACTATCTCCTCCGTGATCGTACAAGACCAAAACTTCAAAATGTCGTTGGGCCCCTTTCCCTATTCGATGAGACCAACCTCATCTCACCAGCATGAACGACACGGCCATCAGCTTCCAAATCGTGGATCGCTACCAAGTCAGCAGACGTCTCGCTTTCATTGGCTTCTTGCACAGCCGTCACCTCTTTGCTGGTGGGAGGCACAAAATGCAGCTTCATGGCGGCGTCGGCTTTTGCCTGCGACTTCGCAATCACAACCAATTTCTCCCCCCATTCGATCTTTCGCAGCGCCGGGTTCAGCAAAACGGAGGCCTCCGCCGTCGTCAGCCCTGCACGATGCCCAGAAACGCTGAGAAGATTTTACTGTGCCAACAGTGTTGTTGCTTAGCATCACCCTTCATTGATGTTGGACAACACCGTCAGTCAGCGTCGCCGCACAACTCTTGCAAAATCCAGGCTACCATTGCGCTACAATCCATCATACCAGCGACTGCAGTTGCTTGAAAATGGCATATCTCACACATCGGTTCAGCAGGGCGATGATGGGCTGAATGACATCTACACATTCTACTGGTAGGAATCTGTTTGTGAACATTGCTGATGCGCCTCCTCTGACTTTTTTTTCCTTTTTTGGCTTTTTCTTCTAAGGCCAATTTTCCTACATTCCACTGACGTTCGTGCATGGAATTTCACATCAGGGCAGCTTGCTGGACTACCTCGCCCGAGCTGTGCAAGGTAGCAAATAATCTGAGAGCTGGGTACTCAAAGCACTGGGCCTTGTGGGAAATTTTGGCCTGCTGCAAGTTGCAGGGTGAAATGTAACGTTGAAAATGCAAGTTCAGAAATGTGTGGGAAGCGCCAACTTGTGCGATAGCGAAGATACTCTACCCCTAAAACACCATGTGAAAAGAATATGCACGCACTGCAGTCAACCTAAAACTGCCAGCTAAATCGCTGCAGAAGCATCACCACAGGTTTCCAATGCATCACGTTTCAGCTGCCCTCCAACATAATCTGATAAACTGAAACCATCCGAGGCGGACATTTTGGATGGAGACGTGTCGCTATTTGAGGGCAGCTTCTTGTCATTATGAAGCGCCTGCAATTAAGAACTACTGTCAATGGCCAGCCCACCATTGCTTCCGTTGCCTAAGAATTGTCATTCAGCAAAAGGGAAGGCAGTGCACAAGAACAGACATCCCCTTCATCAAGCCCTTTTGGGAGACTCTGTGCATGAAGTTATGTTCAGGAGGTGCAAGGAAATCGCTGTGCCACTCATCCACAAATGCAGTTGAAATATTCGCATACAAAATGCAAAAAATATTAGGGCACAAGGCACTTGAAACGAAGTTTTCTTCCCTGCGTTTTGGAGGAGGAAAATTGGCGGTGTCGCATTGTTTCTGTTTGCATTTTAGCAGCGCCATACTGCCTGTAATCTTGGAGCCTTATATCAAGCGTGTTGCTGGCTTGATTGAAACTGTGTCAAGACAGGAGCATACCATGCAGCCTACACAGCACTTTTTATGTCGACATCAACAGCGTACCAAGCACTCACCCATTACCACAATACCAGTCCTTTCGTACACGAAGGCCATCACCTCTGTGAAGCTGGCGCCCACCATAGCACGCCCAACTTCCGTCTCGAAGGTCTGGTACTGGCAGCCGTTCACATACTTGCGCAGCCACCGTCGCCCGGCCAGTGTCTCCCTCTGAGCCTTTACTGGGTCCACGCGAAACACCCGCAAAAGGTTGCCCAGCAGCACGGATGCCCCGGGGCACAGGCAGGAGAGGACGGCCAGGCGGTAGCGTATCTGCTCGATGCTGATGATCACATCCCGCTGGGGGTCCAGGAAGCGGGATATGAGGGGCACCGACGATGTGTGCCGCACCTGAAAGGGGGTGTACTCCATATCACCACATCCAGCTGCCACAATGGTGACCTCAACCAGACGAGGGTGCAGGAAGTAGGTTTACGCTTGATCCAGGGGCTAAGGTATATTCCTTGACAGCTGCCAGCATATCATCATTCATTGCAAAAATCTCTTGGCTACGGAGTGCCAAGACTGCCACCGCATGCACAAGAGAACTGAGCAGCTGCTGCTGGACTAAAGCTCGGAGCAGATGCCAGGATGGATGCCAGGGTGGAGTGCTAACCTTCAAGCTGCTGAGACTTTCATCGCTGGAGGCCGTCAATTGGTAAGACATATAGAGGCATAAATCGAAACATCCATGAATGTAGGGAACCACAAGGTGAGTCTTTTAGCCACCGCTGAAATTTGCTATCTTTTAGATGCAAACAGAGCTGTCAAAGTTGTGATGCAGGATGGATGGGGACGTTCGCCTGTGTGTGCTCTAAGCTTCTGCAACTGCAGAGAGGTTTCATATACAACAGGTAGGCAAGATAGCAGTGTTGCAGTTGATGCGACTGATTTTGGACAATAATCTGTTGATGAACACAACAAACTTTTTGTCCAACATTGCTGAAGTATGATTTGCTGTTGTCACTACAATGCCCTGAAAGTGAATGCCACACATGGTAGAGGATTCTGGCTAAAGGTCCTCTTACCTGGGCGTAAATCGGCACTGACTTCGTGTAGCTCTTGAGAGCCCACACTTGAAACATTATGCCCAAGTCTTCCTCCTGGCTGTGGGCACTAAATCTGTCAGCCAGCAGGAAGCATGCTTCGGCTCTGTGGACTTTGTACTGCTCGAGGTCACTGGTTGACAGGGCATTCGCCTCAATCAGTGTCAAGCGGCGCTCATTGATTGCCTGAGATAACATGGACAGATTTTCGGGAAGCAGAATTATGGCTTGGTGAAGGCACAATAGGTCCAAATACAATGCACTGTCATGTTTCAGCCATTGCAAGCATTGCATATTTAAAGACCAGCAAAACGCCGCTTCTAACTACTTGTTTGCAGTGATGCCCAATGCCAGATTTTGGAAGTATTTAATACAAATAACAAATCTTTCATCAGATCAATCTTCAACATTAAATTTGAGCAGCCTTTACAATCGACTGGGTGTGGGGGGCCAGCTTCCAACAAAGGCATAAACGAGTTGACCATTCACAAATCACTCACAGCACTGACAGCTGGCACAATGGGAAGTTGCCCATCACCCCAGCTTCTAAGTTTTAAATGGTTACCTTCCTGTATTTCATAGAATGTCATGAAAACTCTCCCCCACAATAAGGATCTCCTTGACATGGTATCGCCACAGCAACCCACCCAGCCCCTGACAACAGCCATTGGCAGTTTGGGAATTTGCACGGCAAGCAGCAGACACCAGCGACAATGTCTGCATTCAGACTATCAATGTGAAGATGAGGTTTTGGCCTTTCTTACAATTACCCTAGCTTTTTCCCCTGGCACTCACCCATGCCTCTCAACAAGGCACCCAACAACTTGCCATGTAACAACCTGCATGCACATAGGTGCATATGTGCAACCTCCCTCCTCTAAGTTGCAGCCCGTTCCCTTGTGTGGCGGAGGGCATGATTACCAAACCACGACGCCACAAAATAACCTGGCCTAGCTTGTTGACTGCACGGATCGCAGATGCTGCAAGGACCAACCTGAAAGGCTCGTGACTCAAAGCTTGGCTTCTTGCTCATGCACAGCATCCGGACATTAGAAGGAAGCTCTGAAGATGAAAGATCTGAAAAGAATTCGATGAAGAAGTCTGCAAAGGCACGTGGATGGGCCAGTTTCGTGGACACCATCACAAATGGCTTCCCTGGTCGGGGCAAGGGGCCTAAAAAGAGGAACACAAGAAATGAAGCCAACGGTGGCCAATTGTTCTGTTCATATTGCATGGTCAAATACTGCATCGAATACAATTGTCAGCAATGATAGAGAAGTGCCTAAGGCAGGTGCTCTTGCACCCTCACAAACAAACAAAGACTTCATCGTTGCTATCTGGCGACCAACATTCTGAGACCACAATTGCCAGTAAGCAAATGGATTTCCAGCTGCTGCAAAATCTATGGGTTGATCAGACACTCTTGCTCAGCAGCACTCCGATGTTGGCAACATAAGCACTGTGACAATGAAAATCTACATCAAAGCAATGTACAGCCTGTCTCAGTGTGCATGACTGTTACCTTGACTTTGCAGGTGCTGAAAATTGTCGACTTGCATGGACTACAAACCTTACAAGTATATAAGGGCAACATTATCTCAACATCCACTCACCAATCACCGCTCTCCTTGCTCCTAACTGCTTGTACAGTTGGGCTGCTTTCACCGGTATGGCCACCACGCCTGTCGTCATCATCAGGACCAACACCAGCTTGCCCAATGCTGGTGTCACAACACCATGAACATGTCAGCACCATGTCGATGGAATCTTGGACACTTGCTGCAGGAGGCGATTGGGATCAACGCTTGAATGTTACATGTGGCTGCCGCTGCATACAAGGTGCAAAGGCTGTGCTCTGTCACGTGTGGAAAAGTATAGTCCTAGGAGTGCATTATTCAACCAGCCCCGAGCTCATATGTGCACATTCTCCAACTTCTCCAGGTAAACATTCTGTTGATTGTCAATGTGCTGGGCACTTTTTGTCGATTGCACCAATATCCAAATCAAAGCACCAATGGCAGAGGTGGCAGATACGCACATTTGCAAGTGCATAGCCATGACCCAAAATGTTTCCCTAGCTGTAGCAGTCCACTGTATTGCGTGTAGGCTGAAGTGTGTGGCAAGGTGTGGGCTGTAAGCATTATGCAGGTGGGGCAGCCTTCTGGTGATGGAGTGTTGCTATACAAAAGGCAAACTGGTATGGATCATCAGCACTTATGCAAGACTGAAGTACTGCTGCAACTGTCTCAGGACATCTTATTCCTCCCCATTAAGCTGCACTCAACATCGCACAGCATCTTTGGCAAGATCTCAGTCACAAAATCGTTTTCAGGTGGCCGAATCGAATGAAGTTATTCAGCCGACAGCATGACGGCGCACTGATCTCTGCCACACCATGTCCACAACAAAAATGGACACAGAAACCACAGCACCTTGCACAGGTAGACTGTGCATGAACCCTTTTCGTCTTGGGGTGGCTAGTGTTTCATAAATCAACTCCAGGTAAGCCCATTAATTGTATTGCACACAGATCGTGCAGGGGTCACAACAATTGCCAGTTGAAGACAAAACTGCAATGGTGGAAAAGACAACACTAGTGCCTTTCAAGACAACGGTCCCTAGTTTGCTTATCATATGTGCTATCAATAAGCAGAGGTTGACAGCCAGAAAGAGTTTGAAGCACTTTGGAAAAGTACCAGCAGGGATTGGGGACATTACTCTCTTCGTATGAACAAAGTTGATGAACAACCATGGCACGCACCTGTGCGGTGCTGGCCCATTTAGTGTTTTGGGCTTTGTCAGCAACAGCGAAGGACAATGCTCTGCTATACATACTCAATGCTTTCCAACAATATGAATGCCACACACCAGTCTTTGCCACGATGTCGCCATACCCCACAGTAGTGAGGGTAGTCATCGTGAGGTAGAGAGCAATGTGCCATGGCAACTTCTCTACCAACTGTATGATAGATGTGGTGGTGAACAGCACCACAACCACTGAGGCTATGAGCTGTGCTAGACGCACTCGGACTGTGCCGGCCATCACACCACTGATCGCAAGGTTCTGCATGTTGGTCAAGCTCAATGCGATCACACTGAGCCGCAGGACACGGAAAGCCCTATCCACAGCACGTGTTGGTCAGAAAAGATCCAAAAGGGAATGATCTATACCACACATCCTGGCCCATGTTGCAACTTGCACTTGACTTGCAGCAATTGAGAATACCCCCTCAACACGGATCAACCACTGTGATTACCCAGTATTCATCCATCCTCTATTGGTATCCTTCCCCCTCTCATGGGGCTCTTGTTAATTTCCTTACAGCTGGAGGCAGAGTGCGATTCACGCCATGCTATTGTGTCTTGTAACACTCTTCCCCACATCTGAGGGGGGTTCAAGCCATTCCAGCATCCACGGCCGGCCAATAGTATAAACTATTGAAGGGTTATTGGAATCGTCTTGATGAGAGAAAGCAAGTTGCACCACTGGATGCACTTCGGTTGTGGAGTGCCCCTTTGTTGTATGCACTTGCGACTCTTATGAGTGCAGGACATACTGTAAAGCACTGGCCCTGCAGCACCGATGTGATGCATGGTTGATGCCTTGCAGTTTTTGCCTGCTTTGATTGATTGGGAAGCTGTTTGGTTGCCAGGCAGCTGCAAGCTTGTTGGAAGGGATTGGGGGACGTGCAGAAACATTGGTGATGTACAGATCGAATGCAGCATCATGCAAGCAAGGCGACAACATCTCCAGGATCAAGGGAGTGTAGGATGTGGTGAGCAGTGGCGGGGCATCACTTTATTTGGACAAATAGGGATGGCAGCCCGAAGGCAAAGAGCTGTGCCTGCGATTGGAAAAGGTCATCTGTACCAGTATCTGCTGCCCTGCTTGCTGTAGTTGTGCAAAACAAGCATATGTTGATTGTACAATGCATTTTTTGCTATTTCTAGTCCATTCTTGCCATTTCCTGGGCAAATTCAATAAATTTCTCTGGCAATTGCCCGGATCAAGGGTCCAGACCATACCAGTATCCTTGGCGCAGTGTTCATACCCATTGCCTCAGACCACTCCACATTGAGATCTTCTATACAGATGCTACTACTGCATAATCATGGTACGCTCTATATGGACAGCTTGATGTGAGTGGAAGCAACTATGGCCTTGTAAACTAGTTTATTACCATTGTGCACAGCAGATCAACATTGAATCGAGGATGTATGTCAGGAAGGTCGTCGCACAGATCATTGCTTTCATTGATCTATGTTCTCACGATCATTTCCTTTTTTTGTTTACAACCAACTCGACTTGGAACACCATGAGACTATGGATGCTCAGCTTTCCACCACTAATTGTCCAGCCCATGGCAACATTTCCCCAACTTGACCTTGGAATCAGTTGTATAGGTCACCATAAAACGGCAGCTGGAGAGGCCCATATTGCTTCTCAACAAGTGTGCTGGATGGATACGCCCCTTGTGAGACTAGCAACATTACAGGCACCAGGAACAGGCAGCTCGAAAGGGTGCACACCACCTACAGTTGCAGCCCTGTACCCTGCCAAAGTCAGATCCCCTCAACCCATCGCAGAAGGGCCACCTATCGCACAGCAGTATTGATGTTTCCAACAGCTATCTCTGTGGACCCGCTGGCCACCGATGCTAAAATTGGAACATCGTACATCCTCAAAGGACAAATGAGATACAGCGCCAGGTGCCACAACCAGCAGCCAACAGCTGGCCTTAACAACTGGCAAACCACCTGGCCACTCAGTGGAGTGGTCAGAGTGTTCAAAAGCAATGGCACACAACATTGGCAGGTGGATGCTAGTGTGTCATGTGATTCAGGTGGGTGGGTGGCATGCCGACCAGCACTGAAGGAGCAGCTACAAAACAGCAAGTGTCATCCACAATTGAGCTGAACAGAAATGCAAGAATAGATGGCCGCTGGTATCTTTCTGAGCCTGTTGTCACATCAAAGAACACAGCCCGAGCTAGGCTCCCACAATGAAGATGTTTCCTTACCTGAAGATCCTCAGCCACTGCAGGTCAATTTTCAGAAATCCATATGGCAGAGAAGTCAGTGCTGCAAGCACAGATGGCAAAAACGAGAAGAGATCAAGAATGTTGGATGCGGACAAAGCGTCACGGAAAGGGGTGTCTGACACCTGTGGCAACACACAGATCTTCAAAGCCTGGTGGTGTTGTGGCAACACACAAAGTCTAGCCAATACGAATCAGAGCAGTTGAAGGCAGCAGAGGTGCTGAAGGTGGGACTGGCACTTTTCCAATACTGATTCCTGCATCTGCAGACCAATTCGAGTGACTGAACAGGCTTGCACTGCATACCTGCCATCAAAAGCAGTGCTCAACTGCGCTTATGTTCAGAGCAAACTGCAGTTCTTGGCACTCAAGGATACTTGAGTTAGCTCACTTCCATTCAGCAGCATGGTTTAGCTAGATGCACATAGTCAGGTAAAACACATGACATGGATTTGCAACACTGTGTTCCCACAAATACATTGGTGAAACCACCACCAATCGATGCGGGCACAAGATGGGGTACAGGATCGAGCCCTGACTCTTGACAACAGCTGCTAGGAGTGTGTTGATCATTGCTGGCTGTGCCATGTTCCCTTGATTAACTGATGACCCACAGACACCAAAGGCAATTGCACTAGCAACGCAGCATATCTCCAGCAAAGCATGTGCGGCAGTGAAGCTGCGGCAACAATGTTGCCACAGTCGTTCAACAGCATAGACATCTTTCAGCTCACCACAAGACGCAGCACGTAGTCCATGAAGAAGAAAAAGCAGAGCAAGATGTCCAGGTCATATCTCCATGATCCGACCTGTGGGACCTGGTATGTGCTCCATACATATAGCCCAACAAACAGGAAGCTGACGATCAGCTGCCCAAGCTGCACCCCTGTGGCCAAACGGGTGCCTTCAGATAGACTCAGGAATTTGAGCAGCGCCCGCGGCCCCATCTTGTCGATTTCCTGCAAATGCAAAGCAAGCGGCATGTCTGAGCCTCATCGGAAGCAGCTCTCCTTTTTTGACAATTGCAGGTCGTGGCAAGCCAAGGGCAGACTAAGGCTGAATAAGACGCATTTTGCCACTGCACTTCCAGTGTCAAGAGGTATCTTCCAGTGCTCTTTGAGACAGCCTGAAATACCAGAGGCGATAATATGTTTGTGTCTGTGCGTAGAACTTTGGAATACAAAAGGGTAACTGGCCCTGGTTACCCACAAAGCCAGTGACCAGAAGCAACGAAATCCCTTTGATTATGCTCGTTTAAAAGTGACGAAACAGTAATTGTACCTGCGGTGTTGGGTGTGAGTCCGCAGCGCAGATTGTGCACAGTACAATTGCCATAAAGGCCAAAGTCCCCATTCAAATCAATTGTAAGCTTCTGGGATTCAGCGACTCCTGTCAAGTCAAAAGATGCAATTCGGCCAGCTTTGTTCCTGAAATGTTCAGGATCTTCGTATTAATCAGTGTGGATGTAAAGGCTCCCCCATCCATGCAAGCAGGAAGGCTGTATATTGAATGGCTCTCTTGCTGTGTGTGCAGCTGATGAGGGAGATCTGTTGTGACAGCATTGAGTCCCACAAAGCCAGCAATTGCCCCCATCCTAAACGGTCAAATCTCCCTGGTGTTCGGATACACGGAACATGGCCAGTCCCGCCACAATGGGCCCATCCAGCACGAAAGCACCCAACGCTTCATGCTTCCTTGGCGACCAATCTCAATGTTAGGATTGCACTTCAATGCCCATGCAACTGAACGGACAATGCACGAAGGAGGACAAGCAACGTCTGGGCTGCATTCATGCCAGTCATCACCTACAGGTTGCCAGACCTCCATCCTGTCTTGTTCAGGCAGTTGCACCTACAGCCGCGATCCGACACCAGCCACCCGTCCACCGTTGGGAGAAACAGACGCGCACCTTCTCTAAATCGACAGCATAGCCATCAACCCCCTCGCCGCCCGAGACTCCCGCGGCGGGAACCTCTTCACGCCTGGTTGCCCGGCCGCTGCCCACGATCGACATCCCTCGCCCGCGACGCCCCCCTCCCAGCCGCAACCCTCGACTCGAATGCCAGCATCGGATGCCGCCTCCCCAGGAGCATGTCCCCTTCGACTTCCTCATCCTCCGACACGGTGCCGACGTGCCAAGCAGGGTCCCGATCCCACAATTCCGGTGCGCGGGCAATCCGGGTCCAATACGCGGGATCGCTGCATGGGGCGCCAAATCTGCTCCCAGCATTGCGCCCTTTCTCCCGAGGCAGCCTTGGCGGGCGCCCTCTGCGTCGCCTCGTCTCCCGGGCGCTGCGTCCGCGTGGGTGACACGCCGAGTGCGTCCCGCACATCACCCCGAACCTTGAGGCCCTCGGTCGGCGCGCACAACAGCGTCCCCCAAACGTGTCACCCAACAGCCCCCAAACTACAGACTGGAAGGCTACTCTAGTGCAGTTTTTTGGGCCCCGTTGGCCTGTGGGGCACCCCGCTTGCCCCGTTTCTGAGCAGGACACATGCGTCCAGCGCATATTTCCGGTTAAGTGAACGCGACGGGCGACAAGGTGTGTGTCCCATCGGCCTCCAACCCACGACACGATGCGGGAGGCCTGCCGTCATCTCATTGCCCCAAATCCACTAGGTCACGCGACAATGTGGGCTTACAAACCGACGTTACATGGGCATTACATTCATTGGATGGACAGTGCATTCAGTTTAACTTCAATTTGATTAATATTCAGTGAAGGATGAAAGGACAATGAATGACACTTGTTGTAACATGTCTTTCATCAACACCATATTTAAGAAAAAACAGGCAGTGAGGTAGCCATCAGCTTCCTATTTTGCCCGAGTAAAGGAGTGTCCTTTATCAGTTCCTTGAAATACAATGTGAACACAAACAAAATCTCTGAATTTATCACCTCCTAATGCCAAGAAGCATATCTTCCTGTCATAGGTCTTGACAGGGCCCCAACACGACACGATGCGGGAGGCCTCCCCGTGACTAAACGAAGGCGAGGCGCCATGAATGCTGTTGACGCACAGGCCCCTCCCAGGCCCCCGAGCGCCCCTCCTGGCTCGCGGCACGGCAGCAGGAGATCCAGCGACGAGACGAACTACCGTATCGTGTCGTGTGGTTGGTAGCCGATGGGAGACACCCCCTGTCGCCCATCGGGTTGACATGCTGGAAACATGTACTAGAAAGCCCTTATGAAGTGTTTCTGATGGTGGTGCGCTTTAGAATGAGGCCCCAGCCACCCCCCATTGCAGCCAAAGGGCCTACGGCACAAGAGATCTGATGACGATCACTGTGCAGCTGCTGTGCGGGACAATGGGCCCCGCAAGCCCTGGTGTGAAGCTGCAAGGTGTTCCTGCTTATCACGGTGGTTTGTGACCTGCATCCTTTCGCTTGACAGCCACGCGTTTGAGACCCCTGATCTCACATCCATTGCTGTGGCTACGATTGCCTTCGTCGAAGGCCGACAAAACTGTGTTCGATAAATCGGTTCCTGATCCTTCATGGTTTGAGCCAACTATGTTTTGATGTGTGTGTTTCAGCGTCCAGAATGATGGCGTGAGGATTCGCCCCCAAGATAGTCTCATTCAAAGTGCCCACAAGCGACAAATATGCATATGTTCTTCACAGCAATGATGCATTGTGGAACACGTGCAAGTGCAAGATCGTCCGTATTGCTCACTGAGATCAGAATCGTTCGGCGGCGCCCCTCTGTCGACCATTCACTCCAATGTTGCCCTTTCTACAAAATAGGGGCTATTGGGTTTTTTTGCACTGACAAGTCGGGTGCAGAATTGCCACATTGTCTTATTCCACCTCTAAGGCCAAGCTATAGCATTTGCATGAAGACAGCCAACTTAGCATCATGTTGGGCTATGACTTGCTGCAACAGCAACCATCAGTCCAGTTGGGATATCTTTTCCCTTTGAAATACTTGATACTGGGGACAGCATTGAAAAAGTTCGTGGGCACCAGCTGATCCAAAAATCTGCTTACAAAGTGGCCAAATTTGACAACCACATTCTTGACCCAAAGGTGGCTGCCATTTGCAAAGGTCAAGAAAAATCCTTTGCAGTGCAGACGTTCTCAAGCAATTTACTGCAGCAACAAGATACTATCTGTGTTGGGTGTGGCATGCAATGCTTTGATATGAACACATCACCATGGATGCGCATTAGTGAAGGGTAGGTGCTGAGCCTGCAGACCTTTGTGGTGCCTGAAGATCTCCCAGTAAACAGTTTTGTCATTGATCCCTGGTCTTATTCCCTGCAATATGTATTGACTCTGTACATAGCGAATTTCCTTCACTGCAAGAGAACCTGTTGTTCCCGTTTGTGTGGCAAGTCTGTGCAATTT